ATCAATGAAAAATAAAAAATTCTGAAGATTTAGTTTGAAACTTATTTTTTGTGATCTCAATGGTTTATGTTTTTTTATGTGAGATCTGTGACGAGAAACTAATATTCAGAATTGTATTTGTTAATGGCATTAGTTTAAATGGCGACTGATGCTATCATGAATGAAGTGAATTTGTAATGAAATGAGCATCCCAATCCATAGGTGTATAATACCTGCAGTGAAGGGCTGGATAGCAAAGCCTTCCCCCTGGCTACCAGAGGGAGCCACAGTTACTGGTTTCAGCCATCCAGGGATCTATAGTACAGTTATTTGTACAGTCTTCTCATTGCGGGGGGCTGTTTTCCCTGAAGCGATCTAAAAAGCTGATTTATTGCTAATGCAAAATTGCTTTCATGTATTTGAAGGGAGAGAATCAATGCAGAGCTGTTCCTGCCTTTGTCTGGAGAGCTGAGCATATAATTTTCTGGTGGGCCTTAATTCCAGAGTCCAGCAAGTTTTATGTATACATACAAGACACCTCTCATATATATGTTTATATGTGCCTCATCCTAAAGCTTATATGTAAATGACAGTAGAATGCAGAATTGAACACTTTTGTTTTTAAAATATTTTTTGCGGCTGTTTGAAAGCTATTTCTAAGGTCGGAGTATGAATAGCTTTGTTAGTGTTCGCTGCAAAGACCCAATAAAGCTAAGCATAAATCTAAGCTTTACATCTTACCCTTCTTTCCTTAAGTTGCTTGGAAATAGAGTGGAGCTCTGGAATTTTTTCCTGCAAGTCTCTGTTTTGGTCTGTAGTGTTTTTTTTGTTTTTATTGGCAAGAAGTAAAAATAAAAGCAGTTGGCTGTTCTCTGGTATATATTTTCTGGTTTGACAGAAAAAGCTTYGTCCCATTAGGTTGAGCTTGCAATTTTCCTAGTCACAAAGACCTTTGTCTAATGAGCTGCCTGTAGGGAAAAAGTCAAATCWGATTTTTTGCAGTGAAGTATGTTGGATAACACCCTTCTGCTGCAGCTTGATGGAAGAAAATGCTCTGTCAGAGGGAATCTGAATTTCCTCTGACAGCTCCAAAAGCATTGTGATTTTAATAGAAGATGGACTTACTTCAGTTTTATTTCTGACATTCTGGCTACTTGTGGAAAGGCAGAGGAAGTGATGGTCCTGTGGGTTTTTCTCTCAATAAATCATATGAATTTAGATTGTGTTATGAAGTGCTTGGATTCTSATGCTGTGATAAGGAATACTGTGGCTCTTCTGTGACATAGCAGATGATTTTTAAAACAAATCTGTTATCCTCTGAATGGAAAAGGCTGGACTTATTTACTCTGGCAAAGGGGGATGAGAGACTTCAGRAGAGAATTTCTCCACTCAGCAGTAACGTTTCTAAAACTAGAACYGGTGATGAGGTAATCAGAACTCCTGCAGTGTTTTATAATCAGCCTCTAAGCTGGATTTCTGATGCTGACTTCATATTTAAATGTGCTTAACTGTAATAAAGGATGTATATTTATAATCTCACCTTGTAATTGGATGGCTAAAGAGTTTAATAATTGATTATTTTTTTCTTTCTGAAGATTATCTTTCACAGTGTAGTCATTGAACAGGCAACATTGTTAAGGGCTGTTTGCCTTTTTCCCTGTGTTTAGGGGCATCTTAAGACTCAGCCTGGCCTGGGGATGAGAARGAAGTCAGTCTGCACTTGACAGTGACTTATTCCGTGACCAGACCTGTGCAGACACTGTGGAGCCCAGCCTCATGTCAGTAAAGGTGTGGGTGACTGTCCACAAGCAAATATAGATCTTTATGCTGTAAAAGCATTTCTTTCATTTCTTGAGTAATTCTGTCAGACCATGTTGGTACACTCTGTWCCATGTAAGTATGATSTCTCATGGYATGCAATCAAAGTGTCCAGCTCAAAAATTAAAACTGAAATTACAAAATACTTTTGTCCAATTTGTCTATAATGATGTCATGATTGACAATGGAAGAGAGGGAAAGAAAAAGATATATTGAACCACATTTCTGATAATGAAGGATCTTCTCTGGACTCATAAAAATGTTTAAGTAATGTTAATGTATGTGTTAGTTGAACCTTTGAAATCTTATCAAATACTGCTGTTAATGAATAAATCAGTCTCWATTCCTGCTTAGCTGGTTGCTTTCTTGAGCCAACACAGCCAGTAGTGTAACAGTGCAGTGTACTCATAGCTGCTCCACTTCCAATTAGTTTTCTTTGGAGGAAATGCTTCCTTGCATTGGATTGTAGTGCTGTAAGGATTTAGAGTTTAATTGCAGTTTCAGTTTTGTTTTGACATTTGGGTAGACATATTAAAAAATGAAAATAGGGTATATGTGTGAGCCATTAGAAAACTAAGTGTCCATTGTTTCTTTTGCCTTGAATTTAGTTAAATTTGTTTCAATAAACATGTAGCTCTGCAGTGGGGTTGAAACTATAGTGGGCAGTGTCTTTGGAGCAAAGGTGTGGGATGGTTGTCCCTGAGAAGGGGATTGAAAGACTTGTGTAGGTTCCCATCTGTTTTCAGCGAGCTTTAGGGGAATTGTTTTGTTTTCTTGGTCTCTGGAACTCATTAGAAACCATTGTAAATTCACTGATGTTGCTTTTTCTTTAGGATGTGGGTCAGTATCATCTGAAASAGTTACTATCTAAAACATATGGGTTAAATGAAAAAAGTGTATGTTCTCCCAGCTTCCTTTGTTTATGTTCTGTTTATATATTTTTAAGGTTGGTGTCCAGCTGCCTTCCTGCAGTTTGAAAGTGAGCTTGGGCCAGATGTGAGCAGACAGATCAGGACCTGCTGAGAAGGTCACAGTGGGCATAACTGCTTAAGCTTCCTTTTTTGAAAATCATAATTTAGGATTTTTGACTGACAAAATGAATACCATGTAATATAAAGCAGAACTTCATTTCTCTCAGCTGATAACTGCATGAAGTGATTTATGTTGTATATTTCAAAGCTGTGCTTAAACAGCTTCCTGGACATCAGTGACCAATTTTCAAATCAGTTGAATTTTCAGATTTCTTATGATAAAGCCCCAGCCTTGATGTAGATTCTTTTCTATATRTGAGGAAGTGTTGTTTGCTCTTCTTTGGGCATTTATTTCACCGGAGTACCTCACTACTTTTCCGAACATCATTATATTATTTGATTGTCTTCCTTTTCCTGTCAGAGATGATAATATTAGAAAAAAAACCCCACATAATGTGGAGTTCTGACTCATAGAACTGCAGATGTTGCTTGAAAGGGACATCTGGAGGAAGGTCATCTTAGTCCAGCCTCCCACTCAGAGCAGGACTATTGCCAACACTAGTTTAGATCAGTTACAGCTTCTAGCACTCAAAATCTGCCAGGATAGACCCCTGGACACCTCTCTGGGAACACCTCCTGGTGTCCAGCCTGAACCAGCAAAGCCAACATAACTAGGAGAATTTGATTCTGTCATGTCTCCCACTGCTATCCAGTAGCTTTAGGCTTTATTAGATTGGCCCTTGGCCTCCTCTGCCAGACAGAACAAGCCTGTTTTCCCCTCACCATTCCTTATCAGGCCAGGTGCTCTAAATCCCTGAGCATCTTGGAAGCCCTTTGCTGGTCAGTCTTCAGCTCTGCCACAGCYCTGAGGCTGACCCCCAAAACTGTAACTCAGTCCCTGGTTTGTAGCGGCAGAGCAGGAATTTGATTTCTTCCCTCCTGGTTGAACCTTAGCTGTACATGAGTAAAGGTGTTCCTCTGCTAGGGATCAATGTCTGTWCCACCTGGAAGTATTTTCTAATTAAGGAGTCAGGATGATGGGGTTCTTAAGGGTGGTCTAAGGATCTCAGCATTTGGAAAAGCAGAAGAGAAAAGGGTCAATGTCATCCATACAGTACTTGTGACAGATCTCTACAATCTGTAAGATGCAAGAAGCAGTGATGTTTGTCTGTAGAAAATCTCTACCTTTGGAACTGGTGGGATGTGGAAAACACATACAATATTAAAAGCATGGAGCAGGATTTTGTCTCAGATCCCTTGGATTTCAGTGCTGAGTGGGAAGCACACCAATCCAGGTGAAAGCAGTACAAGATGATAGCTCTCCTCAGTCCCTTGCRGCCCTAAGCTCAAGGGTACTGGTTGAAAGGGATAACTGTAATCAAGTTGAATATCTGCTGTTCATCAAAGGTGACTCCTAAATTGAAGGAACATGAATTTAGCTGATATGACCCTTCAAAATTGCCTGAAAGGGCAGCTCATAGTCATAAAGGGAGTTTGTTGAAACTTTTTGGTTTTGTTTCAAAACAACAGTTTTGTGTTTTAATAAGGAAGGGAATAAATAAGTCAATTAAGCTTTGGATTTGATCTCTCACATTAAATTCCCATGACAGGCCACAAGGTTACAAATGGAACTAATTCTAACTTGTGGGCAGTTTGTATTAAATAAGAAATGCATAGTGCTTAACCACTTGCTTCAGTAACTGTTCTCTGGGTCTGAAGGTAAAATATTCTAAATAGGTGTGTTCTCTTACTTAGCAATTACACTCAACTAGATTAATTGTGAAAATCTGGACAAGGAATTATTAGTACAATCTTAATTTGAAACTTCAGGGGGAACTTGGTTTTCATTTTCTTCTGGGGCCAACACAAACCTCTGGGGAGGGTGCTCAGTGAAGAATCGGGCAGGTGGACTGGCAGAGTAGCATCTACCATCCCTATTGTCTTGACGGATAAAAAAATAGACCTGCAGTGATTTCCAGCAACACTATGGCATTGGCACAGGGCTCAGTTAAAATGGGAACTCTGAGTTGAAGTAGCATTTATGGTCTTTGTTCTCTGACCTTAAGCACAGCTGCCCACAGGATCTATCCTATAGCCAATCAGCTATGACTCACCAATTGGTTCATGTGGTAAAAAAATTGTGGTGTGTTATGATGTTGGAATTGAAGTGCTGCTGAAAGGGAAGATGAGATAGTTACCTTAACCTTTTTTACCTTTATTTTTGTTCCCCAGAGGTATGGAGAACTTGGTAGCTGGCTCCAATCTTCCTCCACTTTTTACAGAAGAGGATGGCTCTAAGGAAAGCAATGAAATTAATGTAACTGGGTAAGCAACTCCTTTTTCACCTTCAGCTGGCAGATACTGTCTCTGTACTTGTTTCAGTGGGAGGAGGGCATTCTAAGTAATTTTTGAAAAGAGCAAATCCTGACAAAATTCAATCTTGCCATGTTCCCTTGGCCTTAATAGAACATCACAGAACTGTGTTGAGGAGAAACCAGAACACTTCTGAACTGATGGAAGTAGTTCTTTTCTGTCTCTTACCTTTAAAAGGTGAATCCCTAGGATTTTAGTCTTAAGACAAGTGACATTATGGGGACAGAGAGGGAGGGTGTATCTGTTTGCCATAGTGGTCCCTGCTAAGTAAATTATTTCAATTAAAGATATACTATTCATCACTGATCTCTGAAAACCACTGAGACTGATGTCTCATTTTTGTCAGATTGACTCTGCTTTTAGAAACTGCAAYAATGGTCCCTTAAAATTGCAATGCCAAAAGAAGTTTTCTTTTAAAAATACATAGAATTCTTTCTGTGTTTTGATAATTGAAGCTTCTTTTCTGTTCTGCAAAGCACCAAGCAGTAAGATTGAGACTTTGCAGTCAGGTAAGGCCCTGTACAAATGAATGTGGACACTTTTACTTCAAATGGGTCTGAATTTGAATTTGATTTACTTATCTGGGATTTGGAACTTGGTGCAAAATTAAATCCATGTTCACCTTRGGCTTATGTTTAGGAAGTATTAATRTTTAGGCTGAATGTTTATCAGTGTTTGCTGCAAATGGCTACGTCTAATGGAAGTCTTTCCTGCAGGTGTAGTTTAGAGAGCTCTTCTGCTAGGGGGGAATGGAGAGGAAAACTGAAATCCTTTTCAAACTGTAACAGTGAATACAGAGCTGTGTTGTTCCTGTTCTTTCTGACACATCCCAAATATAATTAATTTATGGGAGGGTATCTGCTTTGCTCCCTTGCTCCCTCTCTAATTGTCAGTAATATGAACTCAATCTGGTGTCTCAAAGTCAGGCGTGGATCTCTCCAGCCCTTGTGTCTTTAGCAGTAATTATGTCACAATTGCTGATTGTGGTGTGTAATGAAAATATGCCATTCTSTCTGAAGACAGATTTTCCCATGGGCTTTCAAATAACAATTCTGTTAATATATATCAAATTTTTATAGCTGTATTTTGTATCAATAGGAACAGTTATTTTGGGTATTTAAAATTTGCCATAGACATGAGTAGCTTTACAGTGGAATTAAATAAGCAAAGGAGACTTGAAGYATACCCTTCTGTTAATGGAATTTTCGTGAATGTAACTGGGAAAGGCCAAGTAATCTTTAGCCTGAAGAAGGGTTTAGAATCTGAGATGAGTTCAAAAATCTTATAGTAATTTGCCTACTGAGCACAATGCTGAGAATGTCCAGCAGGGTTGTGGCCCTAAAATGTGTGTTTGTTACTGTCAGTCTACCTTCAGAAATATTTCTGTGCACTTGTTCCTCTTTTTTGCCTCCAGATATCTTGCCCTTTTTTGGAGTAAGGTAGATTCATTTTGCTGCAAGAGCTGTATCAAATAATGGCCATTCTGGAGCTTGTTGGGAGCTAGTGAAGTTTGTGTTTGAATACCCACATGCATGAAATTGTGKAATGAAGTTCAATACACAATCATTCACAACCACAGAGCTCTAAATGTATTTGTGAAGGAATATATTAAACACATCCAGATTAGTGTATCTTGGTTGATGATCAAACTTYTAATTTCAAGTTCCTTATGGTATTTTTGGAGAAGCGTAGTCTCTGCTTTCTGATCCAAACATGCACTTGCCTGAAAGTTGTTTCTGTAATCAAATAGTTTACTAAAAATGAAACAAAATACTTCTTTAAAAATCAAACTGGGTCTGAAAGTCTATAGAAACTGTGGTAGTTATAATGGTTGCTTGGATGGAACAGTCAGTTCTTCAAAAATCACTTTTAAATCCCTTTTTTCCTTGCTYGTGTGAGAATGAATATATTTGCAACATTTTTGCATGTTTTAGAAGATTAAGGAGGAAGTGATTTAGRAATGATGATTGAATTTTTTGTTCTTCTCTTCTGTGCTTTTTCAGATTAACTAATTCGGAGAGTTCATTCAGTGGTGCAACTTCACAGCCTGTGAATAACCCAGATTTGGTGGAGGACTTGTCACAGGCTCAGCAGCTGCAAAATGAGTCTTCTAATGCTGCTGAAACCACTGAGCAGAAGCCTGAGGAGGAGGTGAGATGAAATAATAGTAACTTTTCAATGAAGCAAAAGCATGGAATTTTGTCATGATAGTTTGTCTTACCTGCTTATATTTTTTTTTAATAGGATCACAGATTTTATCTGTTTGCCATTTTCATCTTCTGATTTCCTAATTTTCTCCTGTGTTGTACACAGAGAGCCAAGGAAAGCTGGCAGTAGGAATGTGCAGAGTCTCAGCTTAGCCACTGCGGCCCGCAGGCTGGTGCTGCATTCAGGACTCAATGTTCAACTGCCACTGCTTATTTTCTCTCTTATGAGCCACCAAAATGTCACCATTGTACTGTTCTGGTGGTAACTGATGTCTTTAAAACCATTATGTTTTYACTCCTTTATAGTACATACCTTGTGTATATATTTTTACTGCTTYATAATTATATATATGTGTATATATATAAATATATAAACTATATATATATTTACCTGCTTTATAATATATACCTTGTGTATCATCCAACACTGATTTTTGGTGACTAAATCATGAAGAACCTAAAGGTTGACAAGGAAGTGGTTTGGGGTGKKTTTTTTTTGATAGATGCATTTGATATTACTCCTTGTAGTTTGTTTCAGCTGTGAGGTCCTTTTTTAATTAAGTAATAAAATTCCAGGAGGGAAACTAAAAGTAACATGATGGCAGGAACATGCTGATCTGGGGAAAGATTAGAAGTACTGGAAATAGTTGTATGGACATAGCATTAGAAAATAGTGTTGTCCAGAGATTGCTGCAGAAGTAGTATGAAGCCAAGAAGGATGAGTGATAATGATGTTATTCTTGTGAACTAACAGTGTGCCCCAGGCAAATCTTACAATATTCCCTCCTCTGGAGTTTGTTTGTTGCTTCACTGGAGGTGATTAGTGGACAAGACAATCGACCAAACAGATGAGAGTAGAAAAGCCTGTACACTGTCCTTACACCCCCATTTTGGGCACATTGTGCATGAAGGAAGAMGATCTGGAAGGTCAAAATAACTAGTTGCCAATTATTAACTAATACATGGAATCTCTCCAAAAAAGTCTATTGAAGTAARTGACTTGGAGGGAGGGTATGTGAGGGAAAGAATAACTAAAAACAAGCAAACAAGTAATAAAAAAAAAAATACTTGTAGTTGCATTAGTTAAGATGATCATGTTGTGGATTATCAGTCCCTGTGATTTGAGTCAGAAGTTGATGCCAATGTAATTCAGCTGTCCCTGTGGACCAGGAGAAACTGTAAACAGCTTTTCACAATGAGACTTGTTTGGTTTTGTTTAGGCAAAAGTCAGGATAGCTCTAAAGTAAGRTTTGAAACCTGCATTCATGGAGAGGATGTATTGCACCGATGTATTCTGATGAAATTGCTTTTTCCTTCCAGAGGTGGTTATTTTCACTCAGTCTGATTTGTCTTCTGTTTTTGTTTTGCAGCAACAAAGAACCAAACGAGGAGGCTGGGCCAAAGGGAGAAAAAGGAAGAAACCCCTTAGGGACACGAATGCCCCCAAATCCCCCCTGACAGGGTATGTGCGGTTCATGAATGAGCGGAGGGAGCAGCTGCGAGCCAAGAGGCCGGAAGTCCCTTTCCCAGAGATCACCAGGATGCTGGGCAATGAGTGGAGTAAACTGCCTCCTGAGGAGAAACGGGTACCATTACACTCCCTTGTCCTTGTTGGTTATGATTACTTGTAAATGGGAATGTTGTTTAGTGAGGGAGGTAACACYGACTTTGCTTGCAATTGTGTTGAGGAGGATATTTCAAAATAAGAGGGCACAGGTTCAGATGATGAACCCTGGTAGGGCCGCAGCATCTCCTCCATGTGTGACTTGAAGAGAACTGTATCCTTCAGGTAATGCAAAATACCTTCAGAATGGAAGGATTGCTCTAGTGAGACATCCCACAGTTTCTGTGATCCGTCTGGATGTAACTCTGCTGTACCAACTCAGATACAGCTGAGACTTGTAAGGCCACAGTGTTGGATGTGATGTCTCCTAACTGGGACTGCTGTGGCCTTCTTACTATCTGAAAAGTGAATAAAGCTCAAGGCTGTGTTTGGGGTGTTTTTTTAGTGCCTTCTGGAGTGGACCTTCTTAATGGGTTAACTGCTAATGGGTGTCTTACTGTCCACACCTGATTGCCAGTTGGAGATTACCGCAAAGCAGTTTTTAAATCACTGTGCAACTGAATGCTCTCATGAATTTAATCTTGATATATGAACTTTGAAAAATACTTTAAGGGTATAATAAAAAAGTGGGATGATGCAAAAAAACAGGATTTCCTTTTGTTGCTTTTTACTRAGCTTGTAGAGTACAGCTTACAGAGATAACATAAAATGGTGCAYAGACACTGTGATTTAACCATAATGGAGAATATGAGGCAAGGCAAAGCAGTTGATTTGGTAGCAGGGATAGTGAGAATGATGTTGCTTAGAGAAACGTTAGGATTGCTCTTGTGTAAGATTGAAAATTTACATCCATAGAGAGGATGTCTTGCGGAATCATATTCCTGATGAAAATGTCTACTGGGAGAGAAGGGGAAAAGACATTATGCCCCTCTGTACCCTGCATTTTAGCATGTTCTTATCAGGTCTGAGGCAGTTTTTTAACGTAGGTAAAAGGAAATTGAGTTCAAATCTCTGTTCTGTATGCTGCTTTTTAAATCCCCAGGGAATCTGTCCTTGAGTAAAGCTGTAAGTTTCTAACTTAGAGCAGATCAAGGGAAGACTGCTGAGCTCTTTCAGCAACACATTGCTGAAGATGGGAAAGAAGAATTAATATCCTGCAGACAAATAATGTGTCCAAAAGCAATGCCAACCCAGCATCACCAGATTTGTACCCCAATCCAGAATATTAACATTGTCATCAGCAGGGTCGAAATCATGTTGCAAATGCATGAACTTAATAACTTACATTGTTGTCATGACTTAATGAAAATGCCAGGTGGCTAAGGTTTATTCTGATTTAATCCTTACATTCATTGAACTTTAAACTCATTTGGAGGAAAAACTGGGAAAGCAACTTTTTTCTTGAAAGGATCCCATTAGTAAGTATTGTGGCCATTCATTAAATGTTTTTCAGTTCATCAGTTCTCCTAAAGGATTCTCCAGCTAAGCTCATTCTGTCATGCAGGTGTGTGAATTAGCTTCAGGCTAATAAAAAAAGGTTTCTGTTAACCAAAATGTGGATAGATTGTATCAATTAAAACCGGGCTCTATTATCTGTGCTGCTCCTTGTAATAGYCATGATGTTTTGTTCACCTCTCAGATGTGCCCCGTGTGTGGTGGTGCTTTTTTGTCTGTGGGGCATGAAAACAAGAGTGTATTTGGGACCCCACTGTTTCGGGTCTGAATCGTAAAGCATCCTCTGATAAGGTGTTGTTGTTTGGCAGCACTTAATCCTGGCCACAGAGCTGGAATTCTGCAATGTTTGGTCTGTAATGTGTAGGTAACATTCAGTTCAGTAGAGTAGCTAAATAGGAAGTTACTCCTGAAAAAGTTAACAGAATAGTTATTTGAATAAAAAAGAGAGAGAAAATAGGACACAGAATACAGTAATTTATCYAGAGATCTTCTGTCTTTGCATCTCATTGTATCTTCACTCCTTTCCTGTTTGCATAGKTGAAATGGATCAGCACTTCATCTGACAAGTTGTTTTTCTTCCCTTCCTCCCGAAGGGGAGGAAACTCCCTGAAACTCTTGGACTTTTTTGTTTCAGCGATACCTTGATGAAGCAGATAGAGATAAGGAACGTTACATGCGGGAGCTGGAGCAGTATCAGAAGACTGAAGCCTACAAAGTCTTTAGCAGGAAAGCACAGGACAGACAAAAAGGCAAATCACACAGACAAGGTATTGAATGGGACAAAAATATGTGCCTAGCTAGAACAATAGAAGAGTCCCAGCCAGTCATGTAGCCTGACACTCCTTTAAAGCCTTGGATTTAAAGGCTTGTTAAAAAGTGAATGTGTTCTTTCTATGGACTTCACATCAGCTGTGGGTAAAGGGAATTAGACTTATGTGAATTTAACTGTATCTAGATTGTGTTGGAGGATTGCATTAAAAACATCAAAGTTAGACAGCTTCTCTGTGATTTATTAGGAGAGCTGCATAAGTCTGTCTAGAATTGTGTAATTATGGTTGTGTAACTGCTTTAATTCTTTTGTTCTTGTTTTCTCAAATTTTGTTTATTCAGAGAGTTTTCTTGTTTGTTTGCTTTTTCAGATGGAGCAAGACAGGCAGCTCATGATCATGAGGTAAACCTTTTCATTCTACACTTACATCAATGGGTAGATTTTCAGGTGAAAAAAAACTTCTAGTGGAAGTCTAAACCAAATTTATGAGGACCTGAGTTATGAATTCTTTGTCTTCCTAATGCAGATTTTGAAAAGTTAGAAACAACTCAAGTATTCTTACACTCATTAGTCTGATGAAAACTGAATTTTGTAAGTCTTGGGCAGATACAAGTGATTTAAGATGAAGTGGTGGATAGGGTACACTGAAAACATAGATCTGTTTTGTAATGCAGTGTTCAGAACTTAAAAATAGTGTGAGACCTGAATAAACCTGCCAAGTTATCACCTTTAGGTGGCTGTTTTCAGGTACTGATTTTCTGTAGCAACACAAATGCTTGTGGTTTCCTGGAGAAGAAAAAGGAGTAAAGCAACCAAATAATTGGAAAATCTCTGGCTTAAACCTCCTCCTGCCCTCCTCCTCCCTCTGCATATGTAAATATTGGGAAAGAGTGATARTGTCTGGAGATAGAGCTCATCAACTACAGCACAGGCATCTTATCACAAATCTTCTGTCCTGGCTGACTATGGTTTCTCTCCCCTTGAAATGCTGCAGCTTTCTCCAGTTGTATTACCTAGGGCCATAGAGCTTYTTTCATGGTTACCAATAAATTGCAAACAAAGAGCAATGAAAAATCTTGTTTATACACAGCCTCTTCACTTGTAAGCAGTAGGGCTTTCTAAAAGATCTGTTTTTCTTTGTGAGGTTTTTTTGCCTTGGGAAAGCAATCCAGTTGGCTTCTTATGTGTTCATTACAATAGTGACAAGGCTGAGCACTGCTGAGAGGCAACTACTGGTCTTGTCTACTTGAAGGAAAGTAAGTTTCACTTTCAGGAAAATGTTTTGGTATCATGTTTTTTATGTGCCTTTTATTAATTCCTAAAGTAAGTGCTTGCAGTGAGATTAYCCTTTAGAAGTACACGGTCCCCAAATTTTCTGATTCTACAGTCACTGAATCCAAGTTTGTCTTTAATTGTACAAAAACTGAAGGCTTCATGTTCAAGGTTGACTGTGACTATTACATAATGTTCAAATTATACAGGGAGCAAACTACAAATTTGGAATTTTACCTCTTACCTTTCTAATTCAAGCTATCATTGCTGATCTTTCACATCATAAATGCAGTTAAAAAGGAGTCCTCCTCACCTTGTGGGACTTTCAAGCCTCATCACATACAGTTAAACATCAACCTGTCAGTCAGACATCCTACTCTGAAACTGTGCTTTTGACTACTTGATGTTTTTCACCTTTATATTTATAAAATCCCACATGCTTATCAGCTGATGTGCTTTCACATCTTTTGTGCAGCAAAGTCAAGTATTATAATCCTGTATGGGCAGGGAATAAACAGAAAAGACTTAGATTKCTCTTGGAAGTTACTGGAAGTGAGACTAAAGTCTTTTGTCATCTTGCTGCTTTCTCCTGTCCACACTGACTTTTGTTGCTGTCTTTGTGCTTAGTAGGTACAAGCTGATGAAATTATTTCTTGAGACAATATAAGAAAATAAAGTCAAAGAAACCTTTTTTTTACTTTCCCTTGCTCCACTTCAGTGTTCATGATTTAGTTTCTGTGAATCGGTGTTGAAGTAATTTTAAATATTGTATATAGAGACAACCTCTAAAGAGKTTTGTGATGGGCAGCTCAAATACTGATTATGATAAAATATGACTAAAGGAGAAGAGAGATCTTTTAATAGATACTGCCTTGAAAAACATGCACACAGTCCCATGAGCTCATACAGGGGCATGAAAGAGAGCATTTTTCTTCCTCCAAGTTCCAGTTTCATAAATATAGCAATATACACTGGAACTGTTGTCATTTGCAGTGACTAAACCCCTGGATAATGGTTCTCCATTGTTCTGTTATTGTTTATTTCCTCAAGCTGCTTGATTCCAAGTAGATCTATCATCATGCACTGTTGCACTTGTTACTGGAAAGCCTTCAAAGATTTATGCACACAGGTTGAGGAGAGCAGGAGTTACTTAGTGGTACCTACTCTGAGAAGATTTTATGGAGTAGTACATTTATTATATCTATTCCTTCCATTGTCTGCAGCCTGACCATGGCAGGAAAGGTGAGCTTAAACCCCCTGAAATCTCAGCTATCTCATTACCATACTTCACCAAGTCTCTAAGAACTTCAAGTTCAGCCTCAATTTCAATACCCAGATGAGATTGTTGACTCTTAAAGCATCTTAATCTTTTTTTAGGCAAATGATAGAAAGAATTTWGATTCTCTTTTGGTTTGAGGGGTGACTCACTGATACTCAATCTGAACTGGGGCCTTTTCAATAGGAGGGTAATCAAAGCCTTATGATTTTAATCTTCAGTGAACCTCTGAGTGGCTTAAGTACTTCAGGGTTCTCAAGAGGATCTTTTATGTGCTGGGTAATGCATTTTGTAATGGTGTGTGCTGATGGTTTTAAYGATCACTCTTCTGCTTAGTAGAATTTCTTGGTTGCCTTTTGGAAGCTGAACAGTTGCTTCCTAAAGACCTTAGTATTTTTTGGGTTTTACCTAAAGAACCTGTATGCTAGATCTCCAAGGAGAATACCTGCTTCTCTTTGCAGTAGTCTCTCCTCCACCATCTGTTCTCTAAGAGCCAGTGATAATTGAGGCCAGTGGCTCTTTGCACACAGGTAGATTTAGTGAGCATGAATTAGAATGTTTAAGGTGGATGTTCTATAAGTGTTCTAACCAAGCTTCCTAACTGTCAACATTTCTTAGTGCACATTAATGTTGAGATCCTAGATTTTGGGGTGGAATTAATTCCATCTTGGGAGTGTTCAGACAAAATTAATGCATTATTCACACTTCTGTATATGACTTCTCTTTCTGAATATGCTCTTGAGACATGTACCCTGTAGTAGCACAATCCAAAAACTTTAATGAATAGCACGTGTGATCATGAGCCCCAGTAAAACCCTGCCATCCCTGTCAGAGCTGGGAAGGTTTGTGTTACCCTTCCTCTTCAGTCTTGCCTGTTTCTAGTGTGTCTTCARTTGACTCAGGCCAAGTGAGGTTTGAGTTCTCACTCAGTAAATACAGAGCTCCTCAGCTGTAATTGTGCTAGACAGTAAAGGTCAGCTTTTCTTTAAAAGCAATCAATTGATAGTCTGTCTCCTTAGGTAAAGACAGAGTAGCTGTAGTTCCATCTACTCTTGTCTGTCTTGCTTGACTGTCAAATGGTGTTCAGGTCACCCCGTGTAGCCCCTCTGTGTGTCAGACACCAACGTGATACCCTGAACTCAGGGGCCAGAATTCCCTTACCAGCTGTTAAACGTTTGTGTTGGCTGCTGGAGGACACCAGTCATGTGTAACACTGCACTTCTGGATGATGAGTTTGTGGAAATTATCAGCTATGGTGTTTGAGAGTTTTTAAAAGCTCTTTTTCTCCACAGACACTCTTTCCTGCTTAACTTTGTTTCTGTATTAAATTATAGTTTGATTGTAGTTGCTACTGTTTATCAAACCTAATTGGCATTGGCTTTGTCCATAATGATTCAGGTGCTAAAACAAGCATTAATTCCTATTGATTTAGAAGTGGTGATTGAAATGTGTTGTAGTAGGGGGTTTTTGCTTTGAGTCAAATTATGTTTTGTACAGTTTTTTTTATAAATTGTAGGGCACTTCCTGATTTAAAAGTTTTTTGCTTTTTGCTTCAGCAGTGAAAGACCAAGAACCATGAAACTCCCTATGCATTTTGTTCACTCTGTTCTCCTGTTTGTTTATTTTCCTATGAAGACTATTTCAGGATGTGTCAGTTGGTTGATGGTRGAAAATATAAATGCATTTTGATAGTTTTTAAAATGGAATAATTCTTATGTATAATGTCATTAGGATGAAAAAGTATATTTTAGTGTATGTTATTTCTTAATGATGGTATTTGATTAAACCAATGTCTTGAAAAGTTAAAATACATCCTTTGGCCTTTCTTGRTAGGAGCTCAAAGTGTCTGTGATCCATACCGCTTTTAAGCTGCCTCAGGTTTTGGTCTCCTTGGCCTTTTATTCTCATGATCAAAACAGTTAAAATAACTCCTGAAAACAAAATGTTTAGCTATGTTTTGCTCTTTCTTTTGTAGAAAGAAGCAGATACAAAGGAGAGGTCTGTCTTTGATATTCCAATMTTCACAGAAGAGTTCCTGAATCATAGTAAAGGTAAGTTTAACTTYTGAAAGACCCTTTTCTCCTTGTTTTTTCAAAGTTCTTGGCAAATGCTGTCCAGCTGTGGAGTTCTTGCACTCTGCCATCTCAGCTCAGATAATGATTTGAGTATAGTTTCTGCCATTACCTCCCTTACCTCTGTATATACACAATGGCTGAAAAGCAGGTTTTCCTTGCRTTGTTTTCCCAAATTAGCCTTTTTTGAGAGTGTTTCTGATGTTTATTCCAGCAAGTCCAAGCTGTGTCTATTGACTAAGAAATACTTAAGATGGAGCATGATGATGGTTCAGGATGGTTAGCAGTATTTTATTCCCCACCCCATAACATGGAAGATTACACTGATATATTTTCTGTTGCTTTGTTTGGTTTTCATAGCTATGTGTATCAAGAGTTGAGTATTTTTTGCCAGATTTCCTGAAGACTTTCTTGACTGAACAGAATTCAGATTTAGATACTTGTCATGACCAATAGAAAATTATTTTTGTCATTGGTGTTTTGTTTGTATGATTCTTAGCACTGCTGCTAAGCTTTGTCATTCCAAATGCATTTGAAATCAGTCTTGCAGTCTTCCTTCCTGATCAGTTCCCCCATTCACRTCCATTCTGATTCTTTGAATGTTTAGTGAGTTGTTTTTTCTCGAGGAATTAACTATTGAAGTGATACTCTAGGTGCTATTGTCACTCCATGATGTGATGCTTTTTATCTAGAAACCTAAACTGCACCATTTGTAATGATCAGCTGAGCAGTGTGGAACATTCAGCCTCCCTGCCTACCATTCCTAGATCTGTTTTTAGCAGTTTTTGACTCTCTGGTGATGGGTTGATGTTCCCAGCTCGCGAAGCGGAGCTGCGGCAGCTGCGCAAATCCAACATGGAGTTTGAGGAGAGGAACGCTGCCCTGCAGAAGCACGTGGAGAGCATGCGCACGGCCGTGGAGAAACTGGAGGTGGATGTGATCCAGGAGCGGAGCCGCAACACCGTGCTGCAGCAGCACCTCGAGACCCTGCGCCAGGCACTCACCAGCAGCTTTGCTGGAGTCCCACTGCCAGGTGAGACTGATAAATGTAACTGCTTGTGTTAGTACGATGTTGTGAGCTTAGAACACACAGCCTGCTGTTGTAGTTCTGTGCTCTTGGCTGTTTCTGAGCTTTTGTTGCATTGGATAATGAAATATTAAAATGCATGCAAGGGAAAGTGTAGAGTCAGTGCTTTATTTCAACATGACATTTATTTTCTTACTGCTCTTACTCTTCCTAATAAAGTGAGACACATATTCAGTCCTGGCTCTCCTTCACTTGTTTTATGAAAATGTTACTAAATAGAATAGACAGGACCTTCAAGTTCTTTGATTAAAATAAACGCTGTGTCTGTATTGTCAGCTGCCAGGGAATCCACTTAGATTCTATGAATGCCCAGCTGAAGGAGTTTGTTATAATCARCTATGAGACCCAAATCAAAGAGAACCATGCTTCATTAGTCCTGATATCCTTGGAACTACTCATTTGGTGGAGTTAGGAGGACATTGTTTTGCAGTCACAAGAGGTGGTGCGCAGCAAAATCACCTCCCATAACAGTTAGTGTGTTGGCACAAATTACCCTTAGCATAGTGTTAACTTTTTTGAATTCTGTGGTCATCAAAATACCTTGTGTCTTATTTCACTGTGTTAATTGTAGGTAGTGGGGAAACCCCCACTATGGAAACGATTGATTCCTACATGAACAGACTGCACAGTGTTATCCTGGCCAACCCACAGGAGAACGAGAACCTCATCGCCACGGTGCGGGATGTGGTCAACAGGCTGGAGCGTTAGTGATGGGGTAAGTGTTCCCTCCCAGGCTGCTTTTGGTGTCTGCTCTSTACCTCTGGCACCTGTTCTGATGTTGATTCATGTGCTGATCACCATATTGTACAACCAAAAAGGTTTCTTCCTCAAAGCTGCAGGAGCAGGTTGTCTTAATGAAAGTCAAATTGCATTGAAAGTATTCATGGCCTTCATTAAAGGGTTCTGAAATTCCCCTTAGCTCCAAGATCTTTTTGTATTTGTATAAGGTGAGTAAGAGTTCTGACAGAATGGTAACAGGGTGACTAATTTAGAAGAAGGTTCCTTTTTTGAGTGWAGTAAATCTGAAAATTTCAGCAGTAATTGTAGAAACTGATGGCCACGGGGAGATTCTGTTTGTCTCAAGAGGTTACAGGTGAGCTCAACTCTGTCAAACTGAAAATATCCTATAACCACCTCTTGTTTGTAGCACTTGTAGTCAGGTTCTTCTTATTATGAAGGTTTATATGTAAAAGGAGCACTGAGGTGTGGTTTAAGCTACATAGCATTTGTGTAGACTAATGTTTATGTGGCTTGTGCATAGATTATTATTGAGCTCATGATTCTGTAGTTTTGCTGCTGTTTAACAGCTTAGAAAACTGTAATAGAGAACGGAGTAAAAAAAAAATGAACCAAGAAGTAAATACCAGTCTTTCTGCATTATTGTGCTGCTTTGCATTTCCCACACCTCTCACTTCCCTGTGATGCACAGCACTAGGCAGCCATGAGAAGTTTGCCTATTTCTATTTTAACAAAGTACATACCTGCRTTCTTGAGGCACTTATTATGTAGAGATCTACCGTACCTGTCTCGAATAGTGTTTAGAAATGCAAATAAAGCTACCTTGTGCCATCTGCAAATATGAAGACTGGGCTTTTCATCCTTTCTGATTCTGACCTTTTGTGATACTGTGTAGAACAGTTAATTACACATTTCCCATTATAGTATGGCTTTAGCTGGGAGATCATTGTCCTTCCGGAGGGTAGCCAGATGGAACGGACTGTAGTTCTAAGAGATGACTGAGCTCCCAGCAGAATAAAGAAGTGCCTTTACTGCTGCTATTTGTGAAGGGAACAGCTTGTCGATCCAGGTCTGGGATTTYTCAGCAGCTCATCAACCTCCTCATTTTCATATACTGTTTTCAATTAGTTCTCAGGCTTAGAAAGAGAGTTGGGGGAGGGGAAGTTTTACAGAATGGCTAAGAGGGAAAGCAGTTTCTCATCCATCAGTTATTAGAAGGGTGTGCTAGGCCCTGAAATGGGTATTTGTCCTTTAAGCACCTTGCCAGAAAAATCACATCTCAAAGCTACTAAAATCTAGACTTTCATTCCCTTGCCAGGTGGCTTCATTTTTCTTAAAGGATGGACAATTTCTGTGTTCCTAAACATCCAAATACAATTTTCTTGGATAAACTGGATTTGGCTGTAATTGATTTGGGAAAACTAATTCTTGCTTTAAAATTCCTCCTTTTGCTCTCTATTTGAGAAATAGTACTTCTTTCCCTTCTTTCCTTTTCCYACCAGTGCCTTCCCTCTTTCAGCAGCAAAACAGTGGGAAGCAATTAAAAATGTGATTAATAATCACATAGTTTCACTATATAATGACAAGCATGTAACCAAATATAATGATCAAGTAATTAATGGGACTGTTAATTAYACTGACTTTCAGTTGGCAGTGATGATATTTTGTGACAAAATTTTGGAAGGAAGAAGGTTGGGTTTTGTTAGATGCAAACCTAGAAAATGGTAGAAATTCCCGAGAAAACAAGGAAGCTTTGTATCCAGAGGTTCAGCTGGCACATGATAAACAGTATCAACAAACTGTCATCATCAGTGTCCCTTTGTTAAYGTGCATATGAAATACATTAATTCTGAATGTACTCTCTATCAACCAARTGGTCTGTTGGAGGCTGAGACACACTACAAATCAATACCACAGAAAACTGGATTATGATGCTCCTGAAAACAGCTCTTTCAGTGATCTGAGGTGGTTTTTGGTGGCTTGATACATTGTGTTTTGACTATACTGGTGAATATTTTAGGGTTTCTGTAGTGCATGTCTTTGGGCAAACAGTATATGGGAAGAAGAGGAAGGGTTTTGTTATTTAGCACTGGATGGAAACAGCAACTCAGTTTAGTTCTGTCTCTAGAGGCTGCTTTGCTATACTTAGCATTGTATTTTCAGATCAAACATCCAGAAAATCATGTCACGGTGCCTGTTTAGTCCTGGCAGATTCTGGTCTTCTAACTCGTATTTTTCTGTTTCGTCTGCAGGTCTCGTGACCCGGGGAAGCTTTACAATTTTTTTTTGGCCAGTGTGGAATAAGAAGCCATGAGGGAAAGAATGGGGTGGGAGGCAGGCTGGCAGGTTTGTCCTGGGCCCTGCCTGTGTCTTTTTGTCAGGGAGACAAACAGATCAATGCATTAAGAGATCTTAAGAAGCCACGGACACCACCCATTGAACATTTGGAACTGTCCTCTGTGTGAACATTTAAGAGCATGCAACTTTTGTGCAATCTACATTTTTGTATGGATTTTGCTGGGTGTGAGGGTGCCTGCGGTTCTGTGGACTGGCTGGCTGTGGAGATGAAATCTCAGCTTGTGAAATGGAGTCAGCGTATATGTTGTAGTAATAACTTTGATGTMTTATATTGCCTAATGTCTTCTAGTGTCTTTCATTTTGTTTTCATGTTTATCCTGTGGCTTTAACTTCATTCGCTTTTGTTTTCTTCTTTTGATCTTGTTCCCTGATTCTTGCAGTACTGGATAGCAGCGCTTGTGTTCTCTGCTCTAACAGGGAGTCTTCCTTGGTGCACTGTCTTGTCCTATGCCTCCTGCTATGTTTATAGGAGCTTTTCTTAAGCAGAATCCTGGCATTTTTGTGTTAGCCTGCAATTCCTACMATGTGAGTTTGCTCCCTGCTAGAGACTGGCTGTGGTTGGTGCTTTATGACTTGATTCTACTATGAGACAGACTTCCTCTCTCCCCCTCTCTTTAAGCAYCTCTCTTGCACATAGCATCATGCTCTTCTGTGAAGGTCTCCTGGTATCTCCTGAAAATGTTTGCTGGTGCATTTTATTATCATAGAGATCAGTGGAAATCCAGATAGAAGGTGAAATGTTAGTTCTTCTCAGCAGGGAAAATGGGGTTCTTTGGTTTAGACTAARCCCACAAAGCTTGCCCTTCCTCTGATACATTGTTCAGTCTAATTTAATGTTATTGCCTTGTTTTTGAGAGAATGATCTCACGGGGAAAGCAGTTTTCTATAAAAAGAGAAATGGGCACGGGGATGGCATTATTTTTTCCTCCTCTGCCCTCCTTAAATCGCTGTGCTGGGAAGCAATATGTCTGGAAGCAGCACATGTATTTTTTCATGAATTATTAGAGCAGAGAAGGTTATTAGCAACTAGGTCCACATAACAGCCCAGAGAATTCTGCATTATAGCTTGTTTGTGCTCTCACCTTTTGTACAGTTCAAGTACTGCCCACGGAGCCCATAGCATTCAGCATTTTATGTTCCAGGTGACCCAAATGGCCTTTCACTTGCATTGAGTGTGATCTTGCTGAGCTACACCACACCTCCTGTCAGAGTTGAAGGCACCCACTGTCTGCACTGGCTGATGCAAAACTTCCACTGCCCTTTAGTTGCTGTCAAATTGTTGATTCTGACTTTGGCTCAGCTTGTTGGACCTCTCTGGGCTTTACTGGGGGTGGTTAAAATGCTCTTGCCTCCCACAMGACAATCTCTTTGCTCCTGGTTAAGACATCTTTTAAGATTTCCTGTTTATAACTTGGAGGTTGCTTTCGTTACTGGAGTGTGTTGCTGTCAGCATCACTTAAATGTATCTGTGACACAAATATTTTGAAGATTAAAAAGCAGTTTCTTCTTTTCCTGCACTGTACACATGGACTTCATGCTGGCCTGGAGCYATCTCCCAGTCAGCACCTTGTATGCCAGGTCTCAGCTTACTCCTGGGATTACTRCTGCAGCCAAGTAGCAAGGATTTCCATGTAAATCAAGTCTTCCTTCAGGGAGGAAACTCCTTTCTCTTGTCATCTGTTTTGCTTTCAAGACTTCACAAAAAGGAACCTCAGTTTGCTGCATCAACTTCCACTCTCCTTAGCATGGATGAGACCAGCTGMTGCTGCCATGAACTTTTTAGTGGGTTCTGTAATGTATGTTGTAATCCTACAGGCTGGAAATGTCTCCAGAAGAAGCACCTACACCCTCATCTCCTGTATGTGTATCTTGTTTTTTTTCTGGTGATGTTTGACTCTCTGTTGAATTGGCCAAAATGCACTGCATAGCCAAAATTTATATACAAAATCCTGAATTTCTCTCTGTGGCATCCTACCTAATACTTGGAGTTGTATTCCAATAAAGACTTCAGAAATTCCATAAAACATAGGATGCAGTTCCAAGCTGTATCATATCCAATCCATCAGTAAGATYGGGTGGCTGCTGGCTGCCCTGCTTACAGAAATCTGCTCGTGGATACTGCTCATCCATCTCTGCTGAGAAGCATGCAAATGTTGTGGGATAGGAAATTTAAGGTGATATTATTAGCTGGGGGCTGACAAATCTTTTGCTTTTTCCCACAAGGAAGGAGGCGAGATAGATGATCCATCTTGAAGCATCTGGGGGAAGACTGAGTTCTTGCTCACTGATGATGTGACAGATGATGTTTTGTCTCATTAAGAAGCTTCTTATTTATGTTGATTAACCCTATAAAAATGGATTTTGTCTTTCCAGTGTTTTCAGAGTGTCACTTCAGTTTACAGTTTTCAGTGTTGACTGATTAAAAAAAAAATGAAGTGGGTGTCAAGGAGAAGAGCAGAATAAAATGCTTTTGTCACTTAAAGAAATGTTAAGAGAAATATATGAAAGCGGAATCCATTTTCTGGATTAATGTGTTTGGAATTGTTTAGATGCCAAGTTTTCTGTACAATGTTTTTGTAATTAAACTTTGGAGCTCCTTTGTTTTTAAGAAGTTGATGTGCTTGTTTGACACTTGCTTCATTAAAATTGTTCMACGTTGAATCCATTCTGATTCAATTTTAACTGCATTTTCATGAAAGAACTATTACTACATTGATCTTTTGTCAGAGATTTTGGCAACTCCACATTAACCTTTGGAAGGAAATAATGTGCCTCTTCTGCCTCTCCGTCCTGAGTGTCTTCCTCTGAAAAAGCAAAAGGAATTAGGTTATTATATGTACTGATGAAAGCTTCAGAGATCTTTGGTTATAGCTAATGGTTGTCAGGGCCCTTCCCCAACTTGACTAACTTGAAAAATGTCCCACTCATATATCTCTCACTCAGCCCTTTTTTTACATCCTTGTCTTCCTTTATCCTCCCTGATTTCCCACCATCATGGTGATTTTCCTTTAGAACCTTCTGTATCATAACTGTGGCTCCCCATTTGATTTTCTTCTCCCCTATTAGATTTTTATCCTCTTTCTTCACTCCTGCTGGCTGAGAATGGAGCCAAACTGTAGCCTTGTGACATTTGTATTTGGTCTAGGTGCTCTGTGGAGGAGTTTGGGTGACTTCTGCCTTCACTTTTGCTGTTTCTGAGGTCACAGAGCTGTGAGCAGCCATGTTTTTACATTACTTTTGTGGTCATATCTYCTTATTTTGGTTGCCAGATTATTGCCTGGTCTCTCTATACCAACAGGCTTGGTACTGTCTTCTCCCTGGGACAGACCTTATRTATATTTAGAATGCTTTGGAGATTTTTTTAAAGCACTAATTATGAAATGGTAAAGTATTAAAAGTAGAAGGAATGAAGGGAAAACCTGCATAAGGGAATTATCTGCCATGTGACATTGGCTGTTTTGGGGTTGGAGACAGGAACAGCGAGACAGGTGCACACCCGGAGGAAAAAGTAAGAGCAAACCAGCAGTGAGTTCATAACAAGAGAAAAACCTAATTCCTTTCTAACCTGTGGTCTTGACTGTGGCACCAGGAGCAGATGGTGGTAAATCATGCTCAATTTGAGACAATGTGGTGTAATACTTGTGCTGTTTGTTCCTGTTTGTTCCCCCCTGTTTACTCTGCAGCTGGTCAATTGGGCTGGTGATTAATTATCATCTAAGGGAAGTTGGGGGGATCTGAGGGCTTCGGGCTCTTGAGAGGAAGAGATTACTTCTTCTTGCTCTGGCAGGTTCCTGTTGATAATGTGGAATGTGGATTCATTTGGAACCTGAAATTGGGTCTTTTTAACCTCTGCTTCATTTCAGTTGAATCCTTCAGTCAGGAGTACATTGGTGCCTCTCCTTTATTTCTTCCATAGAGTCTTTCTGCTTGCGGACCATGAAGAGTTTTGCTGCTTCTTTCTTCTTCATTGCTCATAGTACTGAGGTTTTTTTAAACTTTTTTTTTTTAAAATAGATTCATGATTTGCCATCCTAATCTCTGGATTTTGTATGAACTGTACCATTTTGGTGTGTGGTGAAGTATCCACATCTATTATGTAATACAAGGCATAGTATTTATACAAAGTGATTTATGGGTTTTATTAATAAACCTGTAATTCTTATGCTGTGAGAGTTTGGTTTTTGCCATTTACTATGCAAAAACTAACGGTTTGTTTGTCTGAAGATACAAAAATGTGAGTTATTCTAATATAATTCTAAGGTCTGTGCTCTTTTCCTGTTGATGAAATGGTTCCTCCTGAGGTTGTTAAATATTCTGTTTACTGAATGGTCACGCATGCTGTGGAAGGCAAAAGGCATTCTCACTTTTCCCTAGAAATGTGTCAGTGCATTGAAGTCCGTCCAATCGTTCTGTTTATAAATTTGGATTCTAAAAACTTAATGTATAAAGAGTTCTGCCTGTCCAAATCCTTGGCTGCTAGATACCATCTGGTTTCCTTGAATTGAGTAGAACAATGTTACATCAGCTGAATACCAGACTGGCTGCAAATCAGAGAGAGAGTTCTAGTTTTTGTTTTGAAGCAATAGCCCTGTGAGATTTCTCTTTCTATTTCATATCGGCAGTTCTAGTTTTATTAAATCCGTTCTAGTGTTAATCAAGAGAGAATTCCCTCATCTAATTTATTTGAAATACTGCTTAAGCCCAGGACACTTGCAAAGAAATCCCCAGCTGAAATTCGAGGCCTATAAACACACTGTTTCAACCCCTCACCCTTCAAAATGGATGTTAACAACTGTATCAGTATTTTGATTCTTCTCACAGGGAGTTTCTTTTCCWCAATGACACTTCAAATTCCTGCCCACGTTGTTTCTATTGCTTTAATATCGGAGGAAGAGAAGTAAACTGGGCTGGAGGCAGAGATGCAGGAAGTTTATCRAAAGTGCAGGCCAGCAGGATGGCTGAGTCTGGGAGAGTGAAAAGCTCTGGAAAATTAATCTAGCACCTTTCCCAGAAAGGACTGGGGTGCTTTTAGGATGAATGTTGTACATGCTGCAGTACACAGGCTCTATGCCTTGGGTTTAAGAATTGTTTGGGCGAGTGTTGGCATTGCCTCCAAAGATTTCAGTTCTCTTAAATTGCTTTTACCCAAGCAAAGCATYTTCTCCTGTAAAATTGCTGCAGTTGCTGCATAGTGGCATGTGGCTTTCAGGCACATGTATGAACTTGATGTGCAGGAGGAAGGGTTTAMGTTTCCTTTTGCTTATTGGCATTAATGATGAGTGGCTCTGGCACATGTAAATGCACAGAATCAAATTCTGTTTACAGTCTTTTTTTTGTGATAAAGGTAGTAAGAATTATGTTCACTCTTTAAAAAATCTGTGAAGGGGCTTTGTAGGATAAGGACAGAAGGATACAAAAATAGAATTTGCCTTTATTCTTGAGGTTAATATTCACCTACAGCTTGTGCAGTAAGGGTTGAGTTTTCAGCCTCAGTAAGTTTGAATTCAAACCTGCAAATTCCATACATTCTTAGAAGTGCTTTTGAGGAGGAAAAGAAGCAAATGTGAAAATGAAATTCCAGCTGCACCCTAGTTTCAGGAMTTCACAGTTATGTGGTAAATGTGCATTTCCAGGTGTCTGAAATCTCTATCCACTTAAGGAAAAGAACCAATTTCCTGCTGAGGGAAGCAGTGCCCTCTGATGATCCATCTTGGTATCTCGGAATGAGAGTGAGAAAGCTTGGCAGCAGAGGCCAGAGCCAGAGCTTCTGCATGTGAAAATTTAAGTCAATTCCCTGGTTTTGTTCTAGGCAGATGGCAATTTCTTAGAGTTTTTTAAAAATAGATTTATATCTTTGTTTCATGCAGTTATATTACTCCTTTCCTACCATGCTTTGGGAGCTGGTCAGGGTGGAGGTGGTTCAGGAAGTATTCCTGTGTTACAAGGAGACTCTGGTACAGCACAGAAAACATGACCTGAGCTTGCTTGTCTTTGAGGTCATCGTTCTGACAGCAAGGAATGGCTGTGATAAAGATTTCTGGTGCCTAAAGCTGTCTCTGCKTGTTGGCTGATAGGCAAAATCAGCACGGCTGACTTGGAGCTAGCAGGAGCTGTGAATACATAAATCCGTGGAATGGAAGCTTTTCAAGTGTTGGTATTTACACWGTGCTCTGTCTTTGCAGAGCTGTTTTTGGTTTTGGGAGCCTGCAGCAGCTTCACACTTAAACAGCCCCACCAGCTGGAGTGTGTACAGCAAGGTGGGAGCTGCTTCTCTGTGGAACTACTGCCCAACTCTGAGCTTCACTAATGCATCAAAATACTAAAAAACTACACAGCATTTTGTTGTTGAAAGTTTTCTGTATTTTGTGAACTGGCTGAGACCCTGTAGGGGTCTGGCAAGTGCAGGTTTGTGTGAAGTGAGCAAGAGGATCAGAGAGGAGAGGAAGAGAAGCAGGAGCTCCTTTCTGGAGGTACCCTGCTTGCATTTTGGCTCCCAGTTTCRTGAGGCTGCACACTGAATTGATGTRGGAGCACAAGTTATAGTGAATTATCTTCTTTTCAGCACCTGGGGCTGTCAGTAAATACAAGACAATCAAAATACAACTCCTGGCTTCATGCTGTTGTCCTTATCTGTATGTTTTCCTGTCTTGCCTTTCTTTCCCTCTCTTGCACTCTTCCTTTGTGCTGAGCTGTTGCAGCTTAAAACCAAATAAAATGGACTCTTATAACCAAATAAAAGTGCCTCTGCCAAGAAAGCTTTTCCTTATAAAGTTTTGTTATGAATGTCAGTGGAGGGATAGTGGATTTGGAAGGGGCTCACAACTACTGCAATTGAAGTATTTAGGAAAGGCAAAACTATGGAAGTTTTTTAAATCATCTTGTCTTTTGAGAAACAGGGGAAACAAATCAGCCGAGCAACAGTGCCTGTTCTCTTTGGTACCAGTTTCCAGGCCAGAYACTGACAAAACAAACTGAAGGGATAAAATCAGGGCTGCTTAATCTGGGGGAGGGGGATGAGGGGCAAGATCATGTTACTGATAAAAGAAAATATGTAAAATAACAAATTCCAGGCTTTCTCCCTCGGGGTGTGCATTCAATTGTGGAAAGAATGTTTATGGAAGAATACATTGTGCTGTTTAAGCATGCTTCAAAGAACAAATCCTTTCTTACCTTGTAGAAATTCATCTCAGCTTCTTCTTTTCTTTCTTTCAGACTGTAAGTCAGTAGAAGTGATCTATGCTACCCATGGGCCAGTTTGTACAGGGGTAGCTTAATCTGGGCACATCTTTACCTTGGATTGAAAGTCTGTTGTATTTAATGGGGTGTTAACTCAGTTTATTCCCTGGGATTTCTGCAGTAATTTTATTGCCTGCAAAAGGAGCAGTTTGAAGCCAGATGAAGTGAAGGTATGCTGTGTAGCATACCTGCTGAKCTTGGCAATGATGCCTGGACATGCTTCCCTTATTCTGGTGTTTATGTTTTTTTCCTCATATCTCTTGCATGTATTTTTCTGGCAGTCCTGCTTTGAGTTTGAGGATTATCTCCCTTCTTTGAGGAAATAGATCCTCCATAGGTACTGCATCTGGTATGTTCCCAAAKCTGTGTCAAATGTTCTTGGCAGTGCAGGCAAGCATAAGAATAATGGATTCTGAAGTCAGAATGAATGAGGCTGTTTGGTAGTTGAGTTCAGTGATACTGCAGCAGAGCCTAAAGGGAGTTACAATCCAAGACATTTATAATGTTAAAGGAACGGGTTCCTCTAATGCTGAAACACTAACAGAACAAAGAGGAAAAATCAAAGACAAAGATAAAAAAATCACCTTAAAGTGGACAAACTGTGCAGTATGACAGACTTGTATAAAGACTTCTCTCATATGCGGCTGTTTTGTGAGGGAGGATGGTGTAGATCAGCAT